CCTAATAATTGACGTACACGGACTTTAGACTGAAATATTTTGAAATCGTTTCGCGAATCTGCAGCTTTTGCACAGCTCATAAGATTCCATATATACATTGTATAAATACTCGACGAGCTTAAATCAAATAGAGTGAATTACTTGTACTTACCTTAACTTTACGCGTATTGCGTGTCAAGTACGAAAAAAAAGAACAAATATAATGTGTTTTCGGCCGACTCAAAGCACGAGCCGTACATTATGCTATGCATACACAGGCTGATGTAGCTGTATGTGCGGGTGGCGGCTGGCAGTTAGGTAGCAGGTGAAACGGAACGCGAGTGCACGCTTCATACCACCAGGCCTGGCCGTGCTCACTTCGTATTTTCAACGAGGCATCGACGTTAGAATAGTATAGCAATCGCTCCTTGGCGCTTCGAGTCGATGCAGGTCGCTGACGCGCGAGCAGTGCATTAACCTCGCTGCGCAAAATATGTCGTTCCTTGACAATTAGATTTGGGCTAAAATCAAGAGGGCCAAGAGAGAGAGAGAGACGTTGCGTCGACGTCCAAGAGCGTCGAGCGGCTCGGCGGCATTTCCTCTTTGCATACTTGGAGATCCAGCGACGCAGCGAGGATATCCCCCAGTGTGCAGGACTCGCAGTACGCTCCGCAGCGTATAAGGGCCGCACGAGGACGTGCGCGCGTGGCATTATTACAGCCGACGTACCTACTCTCTTGCAGTTGGGACGATGGATGGCGAGCGGCAGGACAGCGTGAATCCGCGTAATTATACGGAGGATTGCATGTGTGCGCGCGTCTGCCCGAGTCTTGCCCCCCCGATGCATAAGCGTGCAGTTCCTACTTCGGAGCAGTTCCAACTCGTGTAAGCTGCGTATGCGTGCTCGGTTAACTTATATATAACTATGTGCAAGCTACAATGACGCATGCAACTATGCACGCGCGCCGCAATATTGCGTGAGCGCGGCTACCGTTTCTACCAATGTTTTCGCAATAATCCGAGAAAGTCGAGCCAAGTTCAACTTTACGATCGAAATACGAAAAATTGATGAAAAATTCCTATTGTAGCTTGTCTCGAGCGACGTTCAAAAATTGACTGAAGGACAATGGACTAGAGCGTAATGGTGGAAAATGCAGCCTCGGAGCTTTGCGACATGATAATTGCTTAACTCCGCTCAGAAATGCTTCCAACTTTTCCTTCTTTCGAAACAATTTTCTACTGTGTATAATGATCATAGCCCAGCATAGACAAGTAACTTTGACTTTCAGGCGTGCATAGTACCGAAAATAGTTGCCGAGAGCTTTATCGAATTATGGTGGGTTATTAAACGTATAATTATCAAGTTTTTTCTACCTTGAAATAGCAATTTTACGTCACTTTACGTCAATTTCATCGATCGACGTCTTCCACTTCTGACGTTGAATCGGAAGATAAAAATCATCGTGTATCGCTCAAGACGAGTGAACGTCAAATTCTTGACTTCGGAATATAGAAGATCGCGTCGCTTGCTCTTGAGCACGCCCCCTAACGAATCCATTGTTCAGTACTGTCATATATGTGCCACGAAGTTACATGGAGCCAGAACCTATTCTCCTGCAGTTCTCCGATTCAAAATCCAATTTCGTATTGCCATAGAGATCAAACTAAAAAACACGCACTTTTGACATTCGCAAAGCAGACTTGGGATAAGAAAGGTTGCATTTTTTATCTCGTATGATATTGAAAATAAATTTGTCGATAGGTTTTGCATAATAAATGATGGATATATTTTTACAATTAAGAGAAGTTGAAAGCAGTTACATTCAATTTATCAAATGGGCTCGTGTGAACATGCATACGTACAAAACGTTTGCTTATGGGTACTTGTGCATACGGTCGTTGCCGCTCTCTGTGCTGGAATAAAACAAGAAAATCCAAAAATTATAAAATCCGTTCGAGCTTTATCGACTCAAGAGCAAATGCAGCGAAGCGTGATTAACTTTATTGAAAATTAATGGTGCCCAAGCATAGTTTTTTTACAAGGACAACTCTACCCCAAGCTTATACAAAAAATATCTGAATTAGGTACTTAACTACTTAGGTATTTAAATCCTCAAGATGATATTACGCCTTACAACGAGAAAATGCTGTCAATTTTCTATGATAAATGACTAGCTCGGATGATACCCCAGTGAGGCATTTTTACGCTTGAATAGAGAAATATAAGTATACCGTAACAGATTTCTTTTAGGAAAAATGGTGGAAGTGCCATTAAAATAAGCATAATGTGAATATATGAGCATGCTTGCTTTATATAAGCAAAAACAACTAAGTTTGGTTAAATTTTACCATTTGAAGTACATTTATATTTTTATACAAAAGTCTGTTGTCTTTGAAGTACCCATCATTATTCAAGTCGAGCTTTTATAAATCTTTTTCAATTGGTGCATTTGAAATTACTGGAAATATAAGGCGAAAAAGAATTAATCAAGAAACAATATGATAAAACACAAAAGGATGGAGTGAAACGTGTCACGAGATTTGAATTTTTGCACAATTTTGACATGCATGAGCCAGATTACATGTGCGCGTGACAATCATATACTTAATTAGCTGCTTGCAAGAGAAAAAATGCGAGCTGAGAGACAAAGAATGCAGACATGGAAAAAGAAAAAAATTACAGTAAAATGTTGAGAACGTAATTAAGAATAGCTCGAGAAGTGTAGTTGTGCAGTAATGGTTTCCATTGCGCGTGCAGCTGCGTGATCGGCACGCAAACCTGAGAGATTTTCATAATTGATAAGAAAACGTTCGCCTTGTCGTTGCATTATATACAACCTATCTGTATATACAGCCTATCTGCAGCTTTAAGTAGACTCTGCATTACACTTGAAAACACATGCAGCCACACATACACTTATCTACGGATCCTATTATATAGTAAAAAAAATTATTCACCCTTCGTATGTTTTTTGCTCTTTCTCTTCAAATAAAGCCGGGCGGTTATGCGTATCTACGCAACATTGGCTGTGTATATTCTACTGCTTATATCATGAAATTAATTCAATTCTTTTTAGAAAATCTTAATAAGCAATGAATACTTTTTGAATTGTTTAAATATTCTAAATATGTTAGAATTTTAGAGGTTGGAAATTTAGTAATTATAATTTTTGAAGTGATTTTGGTTCAAGCTTTACAGTTTCTTCTTGCGCTTTGGTGATTCATGCTTTCAGTCTTTTAACTCCAATGGATAGATCATCAATTGAAAATTTGGGTCATATAGTTTTTAATGCAGTCCTTTTAGTACAACCATGTCACATCTTCCATTTAATCATATATAATTAAGATTTGTTTTTAAACGACGATTATTTAATGTTATTTTCGATTTACTATTTGCATTGTTAGCGCTTGGTAAGATAACAATGATTATTTCGTCGAGAAAATTCATATATTGTCAAATAAGTTACATGCTGGTTGGTATTTTTTTACCTAAATTGCTAAAGAAGTTTGCCCTGTTACAGTTTCCGAACATAGAATCTGTACCATACTGATGTTGATATTACGATTTATCATAAAGACGTTCGTGGTTCTCATAAAAAAGGCAAACAAATTTTAAAAACCAATTATTTGCTTTAAAACTTTGTATTATAGAGCTTCAATAGTTCGATTCTATTCCCTCTTTATTATGTAATAATCAGAAATTTTGGAGGTTGATCCAGATACTTTTTTCAACTTCACTGCTTATGCACAACATTTTATCAGTAAATTTGCTTCACGAGTTCAAAATAACACTCACAAATTTATAATTTTCAATAAATAACAGCTTTTAAACGAAGGAAGAAAAAATATCAGTTGGATTAATGTACATGTATATGGTGGAGTATGTTCAATCCGAAAACCCAGACAAAAATAGTTTCATACAATAGAAAGGGACGCGCAGAACAAAGAGTGGAAGAATTATATAGTGAAGCCACAAAAATTAAAATGACTCAATTCGGGAGGGATGTTTTAATTACGAGTGCGTACACCCAGTGGCTTTAAGCTTACAAGCCTCGTGCGGTTTGTATGTTCATACGTGTAAGTGCTAGCTTACTTCGTGAATGCATTAATTTCATTAGCGTTGAAGGGTTGTATGGAACTCCGATCGTTCTTTTTATCTAGAAATTTCAAATTATACTTGCTTTTTTACTTGATTCATTAAATTATATTTTTCCACACGAACAACCATAATTTGAGAGTCAATTAATTATTATAATAAGTTAAAAATACCTCGTATCGTTTATGCATCGATAGATTATGTACAAAGTAGAAGCGCTCGAGATCGTGTAAAAGCCCTAGTTGGGTGGCATACGTAGGAACATAGAAAATTCGACCCGAAATACTAAATTAATGGGCCATAACTTCAAGTTAGCGTAGGTATCTTATCTAAAACATCGAGCGTGTGTGTGTGTGTGTGTGTGTGTATCGAGCAACAGAAATAAGTGTTCAGATAGTGCACCAGCAGGGTTATGGCTTTTGGTGATAAACAAGTGCGGGTATTGTACATATATATATTGTTTGGGAAAAGTTATTAACTCCCCGTTGTGATAAAACATGCGCTGGAGTATATAGGTTTGTACTATTACTCGACTTTGTAAAATAGCTCAAAAACGCGCCCTCCCACGTGACTCAGGAGCTATTAAGTTTGTACTTTCGAAGTTTATAATAATTTTGTCATTCAATTTAATTTTTTTCTGCAGCAGTAAGTGATTTATTGAAGAAGTAGAGGAAATTTTTTATCATTAATGATTATATTGAACTTTCAACTGTATGAATGATTGTGTGTACGGGAATGGGTTGGAAAAAAAGAGAACCAATTAGTACAAATTTGTTTAATAAGTTAGTACACTAATACAAGCTAAAAAACTAAAATATTCAGTTTCTTTGGCTTCTTTTATTATCTCTTATTATAATATGCTTACTTACAACATTTTCCTTAGTTTTGTTTTGGATTTTCCGTTGGATTAATGACTACTAGATATTCAAATGCTGGTATCACTCATAGCTCTAGCTAGCTCCTTAACAATGTTTCTATGGATTTTTCCCGAGCCAGTGTATGGAAGACTTTTTACAAATTTAACGCCCCCAGAAAGTTTTTTGTGATTGCCTAGTGATTTGGCGCTCATTTCAACAAGCTCTTCTTCTGATATCTATAGAAAGTAAAAAATTAACATACTGATGTATTTCCCCACGTTATTAATAATATAAAATTACCTGAAAACCAGGGGTTCTTTTAACGATAGCTACTGGTCGCTCATTGTCGCTATCGTGTGGGATAGAAACAACTGCTACTTCCATAACTCCAGGGTGTCGCATCAATACATGCTCAATTTCACAAGGCGCAATTTGATGTCCTCGACACTTAATTATTTCTTTTAATCTTTCGACTATCATGACTTCTCCATTTTCTTTGTAATACGCAATATCACCCGAATGCAACCACCCTAGAAATGTCAAAAGCTTGGATGAAAAATCTTTTAGTGTCAATTTAAATCCCGATAGTTACCGTAAGGGTCTATGACTTTTTTAGTAGCTTCTGGATTTCCATAGTATCCGGACATCATTGTCAAGGACTTAATACACAGTTCACCTGGTTGATTTGGTCCCAGTGTTTGACCGTTCCGTCGGTCTATAATTTTAATTTGAACATTTGGTAAAACGAAACCAACGGAATCAATTTCCCTACATTTTGGAGTTTGGAAAGAAGCTCCGCCACCAATTTCTGTTAATCCTAAAATTGTTTCGGAAGAGTTTAGTGCGAAATTTATTGATTTAGAATAAAAAACTAGTATAATATAAAAAAATATATTACCATAAGTTTGATATACTCCAGTATGTGGTAGCATTTTTGAAAATTCACTTAAAGTGTCAAGACTTAATTTTGTTCCACCAGTCATAATGATTTTTAGCGACTCAAGATTATATTTTGCAATAATTTTATTTTTACAAAATTGACTTATCATTGAAGATGACATGAAAAACCAATTTACCTGTAAGTTCAAAAACACGATAAACCGAATGAATTTTTAAAATATAATAAAAAATAAACAAATAAACTCACTTTATATTTTTCTATGAGCTCACAAGTCTCAATTGGGGTGAATTTTCGGTGAACTATTCTAGTATCTTTATTAATTATCGAACTAATCATATAATACAATCCTGTAATCCAATATAAGGAAGAATACCATAGGCAAGTACTTGGTGCCATGGCATTTCTGATGCAGTTATTCAGTATGTGATTCAGAGATCCATATGAAAATGCAACGGCTTTGGGAAATCCCGTTGTACCCGAAGAAAACAAAATAACAGCCTTATTTTGTAGGTTTTTTAATCTTGGGGGTACAAATTGTAGCACAGTTTTGTTATCTTCGGCATTCATTATGTGACTCAATGATTGATAACCTATGATATTTCCAAAAACTACCACTTTTATCTTGTAGTTTTTGGCAGATAAAACTTTCTCTACTACCTGAACCGTCTCCTCACTACAGAACATTATTTTTGGATTTGTCAGCTCAATTAAGTTTTTTACAGATTCTGAAAAAAATTCCACTGATGCAATCACAATTACGACTCGTTACATTAATAATTCAAATATTCTTCAAACCTTCTGTTATGTCATTAGGCCAAGGATTTAGAGTCGCGCCAATAATGAATGTAGCCATGCATGGAACGTACACGTCAAACTGATTATGCGTACAAATAGCAATAACATCGTTAGGAGTTACACATTGTTTTTGTAGCCATTTAGCACATCTGATTATGTTATCTTTCATTTCTTCAAATCGGATGCTTTGTCCAGTTTCAGCGTCAATCTATTTTGAAATTTTCAACTCATTTCTAATTTCTAATTTTAATTTATTCATATAAAAAAATGTTTATCGTTACCTGTGCCACATGATTTGGAGCCGAGTCAAATAGATTAATCATAAAACTTCCAAACTGGTCAATTATATTATTACTATCTCTTTTCACACCCACGAGAACATTATTTTCAATGGTGAAATTTGGTAAAAACTATTTTCAAAAAATAATCATAAAAAATTAAATTTTAGAAGTTTTGAGTGTAAGATGGATGTTAAAAGCAATCGTCGAACTAAACTTACGCTATTGCTTAAATTTCTGGTACCCATGTTTCTTACTCTAAGCACCTTTTGATACTGGTGTTAAACGAAGTGTCACGAATACTTCAAGCTCACTCTTTAAGTACTCAAGATGTACAGTGATATTTTTAAAAAGACGCTCTTATCTCTCTAAATAAATGTTCCTGTGAATGATTTGAATTTATACGCTGGTGTATATGGTCTTATAATGTATTTTTAATCCAATATATTTCGATAGTGATCTATAATACAAGTTATTTTTATTTGCCGATTAAATCATTCATGAACTTCTCAAATAATAATCAACAAGTATTTGCCGACAGTATATTTACATGCTGACAATCGAAGGAATTTTGATAATTAGCGGTGAATTGTTTGTCATTTTGTGGATCTTTTTATTGAACGGTTTGAGAGTATTTAGAAATATGTTAATTTTTTTGCGTACGATGGCCGCGTAACAAAATATTATTATCAGAAATGTGATTTTTTGTCACGAACAAAAATAAGGTTACAAACATCAGTATAATACCATCGCATTTGAACCGAATTCAGATGGAATTCCATGAAAATCTGATCGATTGCCAGGGAATTTCGTATTCCAATAGAAAAAAAGTGTACGCAATACGCATACAATGGATTGATTTTAAAATAATCTCAAATCGGAGGGACAAGATAAAGTACGGAACGAGTTGTTGAAGATTTCATTTGTGGGAGTCTTAATTTTTTCTCGATTCCAAGTAAGAGCAAAAAAATCAAAGAGCAAGGGCTGCGTGCGAGCACAGAATCGGAAATATAAATGCTTGGAGGGTTATTAGATGCTGTACGATGTGACGACAGTTGTGTAGAAATAAAAGAGACAAAAATATAGAGAGAAAAGACTTTCGCGTCGGGTGGCATTACTTTTGATGTAGGTACTTTTTCCGGCGATGCTGAAACTGCATCGAAAGTGTTTTTCTTGGTTCGACACTGGCGCGGAAATATGCAATTGCTCACCAAATATGCTCCTAAATTTTTCATATCTCGCAGAAACTAGGAACTTTATATATATTTTTGATGTTAATATCTTGTTGTTGCAAAGTTGCATTTATAACAAAATTCCACGTGTGAAGCAGAACGTCTGCCGTCGATTGTATACAAAATCAGCCGCGAAAATCGATAAACAAATATGAGAAGGCTCGTCGTGAGAAATCACATACCACGTAATTTTGTCAAGATCGGAATTTGACAGAATCATTGATTTTTTTGATTCGCATTACAGCACGAGGCAGCTAATTCATTAAGTGGTTTGTTTAAAAGAAGATAAAGACATGTACAAGGTATGTGTTCAAAAATGTGCAAGATTATGTAATGTACATTTTATGCCGGCTAGGTGCTACCGCACCTCTTGATATCAGAGCTGCACATTTTTGAAAATGTATGTTTCCTAGAGATGAGATGCTGATTTTTACGTTTCCTCAGTTAGAAAAGACAAAGTCAATAAAAAAAGTCAGTATATGAAAAGTATTGAATGTACCGAGTAAAAAAAGTTCGATTACGAAGAGAGCATAAGGAGGAGCTGTGCTTAGAGAGGAGAAAGAAAGTTTAAGAAAGGGAAAGGCCGAGGTAGTTATACGGAGAGAAAACCGGTGATTTACTCCTGGCATAAAGTCCGACTTTGTTTTTTCTTCTTCTTTTTTTTATCATCCTCAATCAGAAGGCCGCGCGTGCGGACCCGAAAAGAAGGAAACGAGCTGGAACGATCTAATAACTCTCAAAAAAGCCCCCTCAAGAACGAAGAAGCGTACGCGCGCGCGCCCGAGAGAGAGAGAGAGAAAGAAAGAAAGAGAGAAAGAGCGAGTGTGGCTTTAGCTGCTGCCGACCGAGCCAATGTGTGGTCTAACGGGCGCACGCCGCGCGCATGTGACTCTCGAGCTTCTCATCTCCCGCGGAATAAGACCGCCTTTATAAGTACAAAGGGATATTTTTTCGAGAGGGCTAACATCGAACGACTTAATAAGGCCTCCGAACGAGATCGGACCGCTCGATCGCCTCGGGTCCCTCGAAGCCATCCCGGGCCAAATTTGAATATTATACGTAAATGCGCGCACAGTCCCTTACGATCGATGCAACTATACTTTCGCGGACGTGGCTGCACGTCGCATAATTCGCCCGATGAGTTTGCTTTCTTCGGGGCAATTAGCGAGCGGCCCCGGAGGAATTTTCCGATCATCGTTTATCCAATCCAGTGCCTGCGCGTTTCTTCGTGCAATGTGTTTTTTTTTTGGCGTTATAATTTATAAACATTTACTCGGAATTGCGCGAACTCGTGTGTATTTGGCTGGAGCGGCGGCCGAGCTAACGAGCAATTTCACACGCAGGAATTTCTGCTTCACTCATCATTGATTTAAAAAGCTGCAAAATTCAAATTATCTCGGCCTGAGAGGAGCACGCATGAAAACGAAAACAAGGATCTGCAGTCGAGGGCTAGGCTTCGGAATAAAGTAATTAGTTTCCTACCACAGTGGCCGGGCTGCTGCAGTTGAGGATTTTTTGCGCGCTCCTCTAGCCGCATTCCTGCGGTTCTAAATTCGGCAATTAAAGCACGATCACGCCCATTGATCGGGCGAACGGCCGACATTCGTTAGACGTCGCGCTCCGCCCGCGTCGTGAATCATGCAGCCATCAACCTCTTAACCCTTGAATTAATATTCTTCGTAGCTGCTCTCGATGCGCAGTGCGCGCGACTAACTGCACGCGTATCAGTTATATTGTGAATATATCATCGGACTTTTTATGCTACAGACTGTTTCTCTTTCTCTCTCTCTCTCTCTCTCTCTCTCTCTTAATCTCTCTTCTTACCTAATTTAGAATGGAATTTTGGATGGGTGTGCATTATCGGAATACTGTCTCGAACTACAAGCGAGCATGTGTGTATATAATTAAGAAACGGCCCAATCCGAAACTTTATACGAGTATGAGAGAAGCTTGACTAAGAGAAACCTGAACAAATACATTTTATCGTTGCGGCGCGAGTCTTATCGTCGAAGCTTGTCCGAGGCTCGAGATCGGCTGGATCGGTTTCTCTAGCAAGTTATACATTACAAAAGCCACCATGAAAGAAGGCACGATAAGAGGCAACGAACGCGAGCAGCTATTCACACGTGTATACATACATGTTTTTTTATCTGCGGTGGCAAGAAGAGGTAATTTTCCATCACTCTGCTGCTCTTTGTGATCAGCTCGCGGCGATGCCGAGAGATCTAATAACAATTAAACTTTACAACGGTGAGCTCTAGGCCATTATCAGGAAGTTTTTAAGCGACTCTGATATATAGGCGGAGCTTACCCGTGTATACTTAACGCGTAAACCTATCTGCATTGTGTAACGATAAACTTATAATGAAGCTCGCTAAGGACCTCGATGATTATTTTATGGAAGCCGCGATTGGAAGCTAGCACGTGTGTGCGCTGGCATTAGGCCCTATCTCAAACAATAATGTTAAAAACTTTTATTCGCTTATATATTTGTGTATCTTTAACAGAGTAATGGCGGGTCCGATCCACCATTAGAAAAGTTTTAATAGACGAGCTAGCTAAGGCTCGCCTATGCATACATCTGAAATGCAAATGTTAACTCGTTGCGTTTTTGCCTCGAAAAAATACATTCGCAGCTCTTGCGACTAAATGCTCTGTAACTGCACAGGCGCTGCAGTGCACGATGACTCACTCTGGCCGAGTAAAGGAAGAGAGCCTCTTGGCAAGTACGTAGGCATTACCTGTTTACTTACATAGACGCGCGCGCGCGTATAGTATACACGGATGCATACACACACACTCGCATAGATGGGTAATATGCATGAGCAGGCGATGTGTGCTGACTACACGCACGCGAATGACCCGTGGGAGCCACGCGCCAGGCCGCACGCCCTTACCGACTTCTCTCCTCTCTCCGTCTATCCTCTCTTTTACTTTATATGTTTATATCCATACATGTGTATATACCTACCTACCATTTTACCTACCTACCTACCTACCTACCTACCTACCTACCTCGAGATCTCTCTCTCGTTCTGTCGTCCGCCCACGAACGTCGCGCACGTATATAGGTGTAGTCCACACTTTCTTTATCCTACTCTTTTTCTTCTCTCTCTCTCTCTCTCTCTCAGACCTTTCATGCGTGTACCTATTATCTAAATCGAGCATGAGTAAACGCTAAATAAGTTATTTTTTCTTTTACTATTCACTCGTCGTGGAAACGTCTAGCAGTGTTCCGGATGGAGAACGAGTTTAAGATGGAATAGGTGACAGGCAACAAAATTGATATTTAAGCGATGAATCGTCTGTACATCGTGAAACTGCGAAGCAAAAAATAAGAGAAATTAAGCATGTACACACAGATGAAAATTAAGTCGTTCCTAGCTCTTATCGCAAATCCAAACTAAAGCTCTTTTAACGTAACGAGCCTTGTACTTATACATTTAAGAAATCGCCTTTACAAACGTACTTGGTCGATGCAATTTTGTACAAGATTTTCATCGATCCATCGTCTTTTCAGATGAAAGGCACAGAGCGTAATTCAATAAGAAGATTCGATTGCATTGCGTAATCCTAATACCAAAGCGATCGAGTGGCCAGGTGGCTGCATAGCACAACAACATAACTCTTTCAATTTCCTACGAGTCAGCCAGAGACAAGCATGGTTTTTATTATTTTCGACTATGCATGCGTGTATATATGTACCTGCGCTGGTAGAAAATGAAAATGGACAAGGTGTCCGAGAGCGAAAGCGTCGATAGGTCGAATAAATTGGATCCATTTCCGCGCGGCTGCGGATCTTATATTACACATCCAGTCGCGTGCGAGCTATTCCTAAGTCCATTCGATTTTATATCACTCTTTTTCCTTCGTCCTCGCGTGTATTTCGATATCTTGTATAATAGCTACTTCTTCGAAGCAGCTTTGTGTACACGTATATGAGCACACAGTCGATACACATGCGGCAAAGTCGTTGCAACGCCGAGTATAACAAAATAAAGAAATCACATTCAGAA